GGCGAAGACCGCGGGATGCTTAAGCGAGGGGTGAGAGAACACCCCCTCCACTCCCCCCAGTGAAAAACTCAGCAGTCACCTCCATCCGACCACGGAGGGGAGTCGAGCCCCTTACCCAACAGGGCGGTAGGCGCGGCGGCATCCCCTACCCGCCCCCTCCCACCGCCCCCCGCCCCCCATCAATCACCAACACAGAGAATCAGTGTCGAGCGCAGTCGGTTTTAGTGGTTTTCTTTAATCCTGCTCTGCACTTCTCTCTCATTTACTACACGGGATATTATCAAGAATAAATAGCAGATACTCTTAATTTACAATGATTAGTCATTCCATTTGTTCTTTATATTTACAATAACATTGAACTCTTATAGCTTCTTCGAGGTCCAAGGAAAACCAAAACACTTTCCGAAGAATGGAAAATAGCTTTTAAAAAGTCCTTCTACAAAAGTTCCCCCGTCTCTTTGTACTTTAAGAAAAAAATAACTTTTCCCCCCTGCTTCGCCATGCGAAGGGCACTGCAATATAAATAGCAGGTTAACATTATTAGCAACAACCAGAATAAGTCTCTCTTTTCTCTGTTCTTTTTTTTTCTTTTGCTTATTTTTTTTTAAAAATACAGTAGAAGCCGGTAACTTTTAACATATAATACTGACCTTTTAATAAGTAAATTAAAACTGAGACCGTATATACACACACATATACATTCCTACACAGTTAAACAGTGCATTACATGAACCAGAAAGCTAGGTCTCTGTAGCCAAAAAAAAAAAAAAAAAAAAAAAAGTTCATTGGAAAACCCTCGCTAGAGGGTGGTGGAACTGGTTGGAGGCGGCGCAGGGGGCGTCAGTGGGGATCCGTCAAGTGTCCGGGTGCGGGCAGGGGGCCCCCGAGTTCTAGCACGAGCACTTGCACTCGGAAATGATGGGGTACTGGATGGGAATCCAGCCGCAGCGCTGGCCCCCGCGCCGCTGACAGCGCCACCGCAGCACCGTGAGGTGCACGGACTTGGACGGCTTGCACACCATGCCCTCGGGCACGGAGCACGAGCGCTTGCTGAAGCAGCTGCCCACCTTCACGTAGCGCGGCCAGAAGCGGCTGCCCAGGTCGTTCCACGCGTACAGCACGGGGCAGAAGGTCTGCGACCACAGCCACATCTGCAGCCTCCTCCGCAGCTTCTTGCTCAGGCGCTGCTTCTTGCCCTGGGCCAAGCCCTCGGAGAACTCCAGCCCTTTGATCTCGCTCGGCATGGCCCCCGACGGCCGCTGCCGCAGCAGCTGGTCCAGCTCCGCCAGGTCCTCGACGCCCCCGGCCGGCCCCCCGCCCCCGCCGGGCCGGTCCTCGGGGGGCGAGGTGGCCATGAAGCCCGGGTCGTAGTGGCCCCCGAGCAGCGAGCGCAGCAGCGTCTCGTTCAGATCCTTCTCCTTGGGGTCAAAGATAGGGTCCGGGTGTTCGATGAGGTCCACCAGGGGCAGGTTGTCGCTGGGCGCCGGGCGGATGTGGAGGTAGTGCTGGCCGCCGGCCGGCGCCGCCCGCAGCCCCAGGACCACCACCAGGGCGTAGAGGGTGACCCCCAGGCTGGGGCCGCGCTCCATGCCTTCGTCCGCGTCCCCGGAGGCGAGCACGCCGAGCCCGCGGCGCCGCCGCGCTCCCCCGTCCCTCCGGAGGCGGCTCACCCGAGGCTGGGCAGGCGCAGGGCCGGCAGCATGAGCCGCGGGGAGAGCCCTTCGCGCAGCGCCGGCTCCCGGCGGGGCGGAGGGCGGAAGGCGCCCGAGTTGGCCGCGACTCCCCTCCCGGGGCTACTCGGGCCGGCGGCCGCGGCGGGGCATCC